TAAAAAATCTGTGTTCACTTAGAAGCTCAGTACACTACCGGCTCATCAAACGTAAGAAGGTAAACGACATTGGAACATTCGAACAGGAAATTATAAAATCTATGGTACTTTTAAGATATTGAATGAAATAAAAATGATGTTTTTGTTATGATGATAAGAAGGACAAAAATTATGAGAGTAAAAGAACATGTATTGAGATGGTAACGATGATGGTGGATATGATGTAAATTGTGATAATGATGTTAAAAGTGATTGGTTTGATGATAGTTGTAATGTTGATGATGATTATGATGCTGCTGCTGCTGATGATGATGATGAGGGTGACGGTTAGAACTATTGAAATGGTGATGATGATCATCATCATAATTATGTTGGAAATAATATTAAGTAGAAGAAGGAGATAAAAAGAAGAAGAAGATGATGATGATAATGATGATGACGAGGACGACATCGACGACGACTTTATATTCATTTTATATAAAAGTTAATACTTTACGTTTTATTATATTGACAATGATGGAAATTGTAGTTGGAATACAGATGGGGAAGAAATGTGAAGTTTCACTGAAATCCCACGAGCAGATTGATTTGTGAAAGCACGACAAGTTTTTTCTATTGATAGCTGTGGCTGCCATTTTATGCAGCACTGCAGATCATACCGGCGATATGCACAACAACAGATGAAAACGAACACTCATGTAAAGTTTGGTTGAAATCCCACCAGTAGTTTGACCTGTAAAGGCAGAACAAAGTTTTTCTATTTTTTAGCTCTGGCGGCCACTTTGTGCAGCAAAACGGAACGTGCCTGTAATGTGAACAGAAAGGTATGGTACTGATCACTCCTGTAAAGTTTGGTTGTAATCCCACCAGTAGTTCGACCTGTGAATGCCGAACAAGATTTTTTTATTTTAAGCTCTGGCGGTCATTTTGTGCAGCGAAATGGAACGTGTCAGTGATGTGCACAACAGGGATGGTAGTGACCACTTCTGTAATGTTTGGTTGAAATCCAATCAGTGTTTGTCTTGTTAAGGTTGCTTAAAATCCCACCAGTAGTTGGACATGTGAAGGCCGAACAAGATTGTTCTATTTTAGCTCTGGTGGCAATGATTTGCAGCGAAGCTAAACGTACCGGTAATGTGCACAATTAGGGATGGTAGCGATCACTCCTGTAAGTTTGGCTGTAACCCCACTAGTAGTTTGACCTGTAAAGGCCGGACAAGATTTTTCTTTTTTAGCTCTGACGGCCATTTTGTACAGCGAAGCTGAACATGCCAGTGACCTGCGCAACTAGGGATGGCACTGATCATTCCTGTAAAGTTTAATTGAACTCTTAACGGGACATGTATAATGTGGCTACTCTATTGTTTTCTCTATTGTTCTTTTAAGCCACACAAAAGAAATTAGCCGCATAAAAGAATTACGGAATGAATGTCTTAAAAGAGAAAGACCAGTTACCTATTATCCCTCTAGCCACATTATTGCTGTCCCGTGAGAGAGGACGGACGGATGGACAGAAAGACTACGAAGCAAAAGCAATTTGTCTCCCACATACTTATTGTAAGAAATAACAATAGGGTTATTGCATATTTATACATAATTATGTTATCAAGAGTTTATTGTTATATGCCTCTTTTCATGGAATCGCACTTACATTCAATCAGGAATTTTATATTTCTGATCCTTAAAGATCGTTCAGCACGACCTTATTGTTGTGCTTGTGGTATTTTAGTTCTTTTTAATGGCTATTTTTCTTTGGTCGGTTCCAGTATTCCTCACTTGAATACTGTTGAATCACCTTAAGGATATATATCCTGCTTTTCAAACTTGTCTTTTGACGTCATATCTGTGGAAACGCAGGCTTAATAACCTCTGATCCCCTTTCAAATCCACTTAATTTAGTCCCGTCCATTGTTTTCTCGTTTAGGGCAAACGCATTTTTTACTTGGGGACCATATGCCGCTTTCCATGGAATGCCACTAACGTGTCACATTGAAGATTCCATGATAACCGTCATATGAACACATCTACGGATGTTTCAAAATTCTAAATTTTACCATTTTATGTTAAATGTTGGATACTGCTTAAGCCGGTTCAGGGGACGCGGGCGGTAACTTGCACTTACCAGTACCTTCCACGAACAGGCTTAATCAAACCGAGCCTTCATCATTTTCAATTTTGACGTGTTTGGCTTTCTCTAGGGATTCTTATTTCTCTCTTTTATATAACTACCACGCAAGCTTTATTATCATTTAGCATAACTTATTATATTTGATCCATGATCTCATAATTATTGTCATTTAAAATGTCATTTTTTTATTGATATCACCCGTGGTTGGAAAAAAGATATTCCAATGCGTAAACTATTTAATCTTATTTTTTTCTATTCTAATATATCTTCTGTCTTGTATAAATTAATGAAACTTTCTTCAAAGATATTTATAATATTTTCTTATGGAAAACCTTTATGTAATTGCCTGGCAAATTTTAGCCATGGATATGCAATACAAACATAACAATAGCACCAAGAACACGTCATGGGGTAAGTTTTAAAATGTTTTGTGTTTTTTTTTTAAATAATTCCCATGACAAATTTGCCATAGTAATTTGCAGATTACCGAAATTCCAAGGCAAAACACACTTTGCCATGGCAATTGCAAATTTTAAATGCATTTTAATAAATAAAAAAATTAGTAAAGATAGAAAAAACAAAACATATTAATTTTTAAACCTTTTAGTAAATATATTTATTTAAGATTTATTTTTTAAAGCGCGTAAAAATTGGGGTGGAATTTGCCAAAAACCGGCGCGGCAATAAGATTCCGGCGGCTATTATTTATGAAGTTGAAATTGTGAATTCGTGAAGCTACAATCACGAAATCGTGAAGTCAAAATCGGAAATTCACGAACATGAAATCGGGGATTAATGAAGTCGATATGTCCTATTGAATTATTCCATTTCGACATGACGTTATAATAAAGCACTGGCATATTCTAAATAAAGTTATAAATGGAGTCGTCATAAGTATTGCTAAAGTTGGATTAGTGTTTTCATTATTTTCAGCATTGATAAGAAGGAAATAAAGATACTCGACTTTTTTCTTTAAACGTTGCGTTAAATGTAGAAGCATTGTTATCTTTCCTGAAAGTTACATGCATTAGCATTCATATAAATAATATCGTATAAAACATACGGTTATTATTCATTTAAAAACAAACAGATAGCTGAACTCGATATATATTGACTCTTCTATTGTCGCATGGATGTCAAAAAAAAGCCTTAATTCAAAAATATAAATATTGAAATAAATGAACTTTACAGGCAAAAAACAACAAATAAATGATTTATATATGCATTAACCCTTTACCTTATATATACATGTACGCGAAACGACGCATTTTCGACCCCCTCCCTCTTTTAGGCCAGAAGATACATCAGGGGGTTGCCAGAAGGGGGATGTGCCCCCTTCAGTTTGGGGGGTTTGAAGGGGGTGGAGTCCCCCTCATCGTCAAGAAAATTTTGGACTTGTGACAGGCTAAAAATGACCCCAGATTGATCAAAATGTAAGTGTACCCAACGCTGAAAAACATCTGACTCTATCTCCATCCATTGAGAAGTTGCAGCACTTTGAAATCAATTTTGATGGAAAAAATCAATGCAAAATAGTGTCCAGTCGTTGCCATGGTAACAGGACATTTAAGCCTGAGTATGTTGTTACAAATGCAATTGTCCAGATAACATTTGTGCCAAAATTGATTAGCATTGAAGCAGGTTTGATAGTTTTATAGCAATTTGAACTTGTAACGGGTGACTTTTCACTGAAAACTGCCATTTTTCTCAAAATGCTAATGAAGTAATGGGCTAAAAAGCAATGCAGTTGTTGCAAAAAAAAAAAATCCATGTAAAATATCTGGAAGAAAGTAATCCCGCAGAAGCACAAAAACACGTCTCTGAATCAGATTGAATAAATCGATATTAAAGTAAATGCTGACATTATTTATCTTTTATATTTTCTCCTCAATGTGTTTTATCTTATAAAAAATTGAATAGTTATACCTGTTGTTTGACCATTGAGCCTGAAGTCAAACCCTTGCTTACAGATAGCAGCTATATATTGGTTCTTTGTGCCATGGAACACTCTCATTTCTCCGATTTTTCTTTCATTTTTCTTTTTCATCATTTTCGATTTCTTCCTTTAATATAGTGAATGCAGAAACATGACAAATAATTATCAATTTTATATACTACTACTTAAATGACGCACAATCTAACATATCTCGGAATTTATTTTATTAATATTAAATTGTTATGTGTTCAAACAAGTCTACTTAATTGTCTAGAATTGAAATTTATACTTAAAAAGTGAGTGCTTCAATTTAGGCTTTCATTTTGTCACCATTTTTATTAGATTGGTTCCCGAGAGTGGTTGATTACATTTCGCATCTTAAGATAAAGGATTAAGGTTTATAATTAAAGTGATTTTTAAGTGCAAGGTCTTTTTATTAATAAGTAAGAATCACTCCATTAGGAGAAAACCTCATGCAAAATAACTGACAATACATACGTTGTGATCAACGGAAAGGTGTTTGGCATTTCAAATTTAACGGAAAATATAACCGGATGGAATTTTAAAATCAACATACATCATGTAGTTCTCCCACAGATCACCATTTTCAATCCTGTCTATTGATTTTATATGAGCGTTCTGTAAACTTTGAAGGAACAATGATTCTATTTCTCCATACTCTGGGTCTGATGTGTTCAGCTGTAATGAGATAAATGGTCAATTTAATTGATGTTTTAAGACAAAAGTTGTTAAAGATGTTAGATAATAATAGATTTGGATGTTTTTAATTTTAATCAAAAACGCAATACTTCTAAGAAGGCACGCAAAATGTCAAAAAATGCATAGCCTTTAGAACAGGTTTTTTACTAAAAATTGAAATACTTGCGGTAGGGCAAGCAACATCAAGGAAATCATTGGTATTTGTATTTGTCAGGTGCATGTGCAGTTCGATTTAAATAACAATTAAAGTGATTCTAATGGTATTGGTTGTTATCTATAAAGTGTTTGTTAAAAAAAGTACTTTAAAATGTCGAAGCCGCATGCATAATACTTTCCTTTACAATCAAAATATGTTCCGAAAGATCTGTCCACTTTGGTATGCTCCAGTTTGCCGGTGCCTTTATTCTTTTAATCTCTGTATTGTCCGCATGCTTTACTAATCTCAGACTTTAGAAAATAAAAAAAGTATCTCTTAAAAGATAAGCGGGCGTGGTACTGCTTTTACTTGCATTGGCTCTTTCGAAGTTTTGAAATACCATTTTTAGATCTAAGAAACACTGTTAAGTATGTTCGAAATCGAATTGTTGTGTTTCTGTTAGTTTTATGTACACATATGTATAACTATGCGGTATAAATGTGCAAAAATACATCGAATTTTTTAAAATTATATGAAATGATCAATCTCATTAACGCGGAACTTCATCTACTGAGTGTATCAGATAAGCTTGGGACTTTTGTATTTGGTCTTTTTTTTGTATGCACATGTATTTCCGGGATCGTGAACGTTGTTGGCAATATCGCCAGTTTGGACAAAACTTGCAAAATGTCATCTAATGTATATGTATCAAAAAAGCTATTCAGGAACAGTTTTAACGCAGTTCACAATTATCAAATATCCGAGAAATTTACCTTAAAGATTTGTTTTTACGCTCCTTTTAAAATAGATTATTTTAAAATTTAGATGTGTAAATGTTTAAAAAATCTCCTTAAAAATTTAAATATATCATTATTATACTTATTTTAGAAATTTGACCAATGAGATTGCCCCTTATTTCAATTTTGTTAATTCAAGTTTTGGGCAAATTTTGACCAAAAAAAAAGCACCCTTACTTATATCCAAATTTTAAAAAGGAAGTCGAGCCGTTCTCAGACAGACTTGTCCGAAAAAAAAAAAAAAAAAAAAAAAAAAAAAAAAAAAAAAAAAAAAAAAAAAAAACACTCAAACCAGTAAAAGCAGTAAACGGTATTCAAAATGTACTACTTTAATTATAAAAAAAAATGATTCAATTAAGACAATTTTACAGGACTGACAATTTGCCTCAATTTGTTGCCATAAAATAATTAACATGTGAATTTTATTACCTCCCTTTAATAAATGGCATTAACCAGTTTGTACGGATTATGCTTAATGTCCGTAATATTATAGTTTTTACAGTATAAATTAAAATATTGTGTTTGCCGGGAAAAACGTTATTATTTAACGTAACTGCTTTTTTAAATGACGTAACGTCATTTGTTTATATGTTTATTGTTTATTAAAGTTTCGGCTGAAGATATGCGAAGAAAGCATAGAAAGCGCTTCCGAATATACAAAGAGTTTGTTATTTCTAAAACATTATTATTTTATCTATATAGATCTATCAAATATATATATATCTTAAGTGATCCCACGCAGGGGAAAGTATAACTGTATTGAATTTAATTATCTCCCTTTATATATACTTTATCTGTCTAAATTCATTGTATCCTACGGATCTACCTGATCTTACGGGATCCAGTTGACTTTCGGAAATAGATATATAGTTCTCTGGTCCCAATCAGTGAAGAAGACAATAAAAATGGTCATCGTTGATTTGTGAGACATGATAACAGAGAACAAACTCTATATATGCGAATGTTGAGCTTGTTTCAATGTGTAGTGCAGTTTTGTGACTGTATATAAAGCTATTCTTGAAACCATCATTTTTATGTGGTGGTGGATGAGCAGTGGCTATGCTTTCATGACTGTTCTGCTAGGCGCTGTGCCGTAATTGGACTAGCAATATCGTTGTGGTGGTATGTGTGTATAATATTCTCTCATTTCTCTCTCTCTCTATATATATATATAAATATATATATATGTTTATATTGAAAGCGCTACCGAATTTACATAGAGTTTGTTATTTGATGTTAAACATTATAATTTTATCTATATATATATACAGTTACATTCCTCCATTTACGGGGCATCGGTCTATTTGAGACCATACTTGTGGGGTTTATATTTAATGTGGGGCATACATAACTCTAGCATGTTTAAAATGATGTATGGGGGCGTAGGCTACCCTTCTAAAATAGTGCCCGTAGGCCGGTTTTAATAGTTAATGGTATATGTCCTACAAATGCATATATTTTTAATGGGGTTTTATGTTATTGGTCAATATGTTTTCACCTATTGTAAAATTAATTATATAGTTGATATATATAACATAGTACCCCTTAGTTCTGTTGTTTGGAAATGTCATTATATGCCTACATAGTGGCATATATAATCAAAGGACTGCAAGCTCTGTGGTATTTCTGATCTTTGCAATCTAAATCATACTGACCATCTGCATGTGTTTTCCTAAATAAGTTTATTTCTATATACTATAATTCCTTTTACGGAGTGCCTGCGTTTAAATTTTTTTTCTATAACAGTTTGAGATTGATACATATGGACTTTTGCATGACTAGAGTTGCATCAAAAAATCATTTTTCATTTTTATGACAGCCACACTTTATCCTTGCACATCGTGACTACTTCCTTAAAAAAAGACACTTCAAAAACAAAAGTTGCCTCGACTAGGATTTGAACATTATGCCTCTCACACCCTAAACGATCGCGCTACCTCTGCACCACGGTGAAGTAATACTTATGTAGCTTGAATAAACACAAATAAATTGTAATTCTAAATTGAAATTTCCATTTCGTGTTTGTAATCCTTATTAATTTCGAGGTATTTTGTTCATGATAAACCTGTCGTTTAACACTGATGAAAATAATTTAGCGAAAATCCTCTCGCCAAAACAGTACGGCATGTATATATTCCACTACTCGACAGTCAGATTTATTTGTGTACTACGCTCTGGAGTATTCGGCAATCGACATAGCTAAAAATAGCATTTTCATTGATTAAGCTTTACGGAAATAGCCGAAAATTTTTCATTGGGTAAAAAAAGATATTCATCCGCGAAATTTGTGATTGTAACCTCATATTTCTATTGACTAATCTAAACTTTTAATGCAATGTAATTCGTTAAATTCCTACCATTAAAAATTATTCTTTCTTTTAAATTGCTTGATTTTAAGCAGTTTTGAGTGAGAACTACTTTGCGTTGTTAGGTCTGTAAGCAAATTTGGACTTAGATCGTGGATGTTAGCTTTGTATTTACTGATCTTGCGATCAGAAAATACAAAAACTGACTGCATGAAATAATGCCACTCAATTCGGTCTTATATATAGGCCCCGTAAGTGAAGATATGTGTAAATATATATATATTATTTTTCTTCAGGACTTAATTCGTTTTTACGGAATATCAATTCGTATTTATGAAATTTAAATTCGCTTAACGAAACATTATTTCTTTTTTAGAAACATTAATTAGTTTTAGCGAAATATTTGTTGTTTTTTTTTTTTCGAAATATTTATTAGTGTTTACAAAATATTATTTCTTTTTTACGAAGATGTTATTCATTTTTTTGAAATATGAATTCTTTTTTTACGAAATAATTATCCGTTTTTTATTATAATAATATATATATATATATATATATATATATATATATATATATATATATATATATATATATATATATATATAAAGAAAATGGTACATTATGCGCAATTGGAACATACTGGTTCAATTCAAAATCAAGCTTATTGATGAATTCTGGCCGTCTGCACAATTTCCTCGATGTTTTGCATGTAACATTGCGCTGTATCATTTTGCGAAATTCGACGATATAGTCAAATGGTTGTGTCCCTGTTGTCCTAAAATTTGCTTCACCGGTTGGATCGGAGACAAAAGCTTTTTCTAACTCCTTGCTCTTTATTTCAGCCCTATTTCCTTCATAGTCATCCTGTTTTATGTAAAACAAGAGAAAGATCAACACTGGACAACGTAAACGCAACGCAACACAAAAGCATTAGCAGTGTGAATGACAGTTTTAATAAAGATGCCGATTTAGAGTTGAAATATAAAATTATACAACTAGAAATGTGTCCATAGGACACGGATGCCCCCACACGCCACTGTTCTGTCAATCTTATGACTTTAGGTCAAATATTTTTTGGACTACATGTGCCACAAGTTGAAAACTAAAAATCAACAAAGGGCCATAATTCTGTAAAATTATGTCGCAGCAAAAAATCCTTCCTTTACTACCATCTACACATTAAGGTTGTCAATCCCTGGAAGTTTAAGCAAAATCTGCCATCCGGTTTAAGAGGAGTTGCGTTCACAAACTTTCTACATAGTATATAATGAAAAAATCAACAAAGGGCCATAATTCTGTAAATTTTGTTGCAGCAAAAATTCCTTCCTTTACTGCCATCTACACATTAAGGTAGTTCATCCCTGGAAGTTTAAGCAAAATCTGTTATCCGGTTTAAGAGGAGTTGCGTTCACAAAATTTCTACATAGTATATAATGAAAAATCAACAAAGGGCCAAAATTCTGTTAAATTTGGTTGCAGCAAAAATTCCTTCCTTTACTGCCATCTACACATTAAGGTTGTTCATCCCTGGAAGTTTAAGCAAAATCTGCCATCCGGTTTAAGAGGAGTTGCATTCATAAAATTTCTACAAAGTATACGGTGAAAAAAATCAACAAATGGCCATAATTCTGTAAAATTGGGTCGCAGCAAAAATTCCTTCCTTTACTACCATCTACACCTTAAGGTTGTTCATCCCTGTAAGTTTAACAAAATCTGCCATCCGGTTTAAGAGGAGTTGCGTTCACAAAATTTCTACAAAGTATAAAGTAAAAAAATCAACAAAGGGCCATAATTCTGTTAAATTTGGTCGCAGCAAAAATTCCTTCCTTTACTACCATCTACACATTAAGGTTGTTCATCCCTGTAAGTTTAAGCAAAATCTGCCATCCGGTTTAAGAGGAGTTGCGTTCACAAGATTTCGGGACGTACGGACGGACGGACGGACTGACTGACGGACGGACTGACGGACGGACGGACGGACAAGTGCAACGCTATATGCTCCCACATTGTGGGGGCATAAAAATCAACTAACGAACATATGTTGAGACTTTTCAAATAAAATTTAAAAAAGTATCAATGACTTCGATATTACTAGAACTAACGTCTGTTTATACTATACTTACATCAATGCCTTTAACATAATTCAATAAAATTCCATAAACGTTATCATAGCTGTACATATACACATTTACGTTTTTCTCTAACTTTTCCTAACCGACATAACTATGAGTATTAAAGAAGAAATTATGTCTTTTATGATCAAAGACTGAATAACATAATGTTCTATATGTTATACCAAATCTCCAAACTTTATCCATACGCCTTTGGGATTTTTCCAATACCATAACCAGTTTGTTCTCCATGTTTGGTTTTCATGGTTTATTGAAGACGGGGTTGATAGTCTTTCTACTTCAATTGCGATACGTTCTCCCTTACTACTTTTGCCGCTCATTGTTTTAAAATATATGGTATTTCTACAGAAAAAATATTGAAAATGATGTATTTCATCATATAAATACACCTCAGTTTTTGTTTGTTTGGATTTTTACGGCACGTCAACACATAACTGGCCATATCGTGCCGAATGCTATAATAGGCTTAAAATATTATGTAGAACATTGTAAATGACAATAGAAATGAGCCAATGAGATACTAGAATACAAGTTTATCTCTTTTAAATAATCAATTATGTTCTTTGATGGAATTGTATTAAAAAGTTCTTTGAGTGAGTTTACAGAATAAAATCTATTACGGGCCTGTGAAAATTCATGACATTCAAGAAGAGATTGCTTGACAGTACAATTTTCATTACAACCTACAAAGAAAGGGGCATTGTCATTTGTGAGGAGATAAGAGTGGGTAATTTTAGTGTGTCCAATTCGGCATCGAAGAAGAACTGTTTGATCACGGCGGTTTGACAGAGATAGAGATGGTGACATATCAAGAGATGGGTTTATATCGTGAAGTTTATTAAAAACGGCATTGTCCCAATTTGCTTTCCATTCAGATGATACGAGTTTATTTATAGCTGGTCTAAAATCACAAGCAGGTAACAATAAGTCAGTTTTTTGAAAATTTAATGATTGTTTAGCTAAAGCATCTACTTTTTCATTTCCTCGTATTCCTACATGGCTTGGAATCCAATATAATTTAACATATTTTGTTTTTAGTATATTATGAAATCGTAAAAGAAGTTTCTTTACCATGATATTGTCAGTTTTTTATTTTTAATGGATATTAAAACAGAAAGCGAGTCAGAAAATATCACAAATTTATCGTTGGTATGCTGTGCTATGTATGACAATGCTAAATCGATAGCTTTTGCTTCAGCAGTAAAAATTGATGCATTATCTGGTAACCTCATACTAGATGTAAAATTATTTTCAAACACAGCCGCACCTACTTTGCAACCTTCTTTTGAACCGTCCGTATAAATATGTATAAAATCTTCATGTTCTTCCTTAATTGCTAGAAACTTCTCTTTGAAATATTCAGGTGAATGTGATGCCTTTTTTATATTTGAAAGGTTAATATTTATTTCCGGGGAATTATAAGTCCAAGGAGGAACATCATCATCGTCATTTTGAAGGATACTGTCTGGATTAATTTTAAGTTTATCTAAATAATCTTTTAAACGAAGGCCTAATGGTTTAATTTCCTTTGGTTTGTTAACAAATTTTTCAGTATAACTTGGTTTGAAAATAATATTCTTAGCTGGATTTTTCCTATTAGATGAAATTCTAGTTGCATATTGAAGTGATAGCTTTTTACGACGAAGATAAAGCGATGGTTCCCCAGCTTCCGCATATAGACTTTCTACAGGTGAAGTGCGGACACCTCAGTTACAGCATGTATAACTATAGGAAGAAATTAATTGCCTGAAAAACAATCCTTTTAACGTCTAAATTAAAGTCATACCCATAACAGTCGATGTGCTTCTCATTTTTTGGATCACAAAACGCCCGTTCTATCTTGTCATTTTCATTCTCGTCATAATTTCTCCACGTATCTCCCCAATATTGTCTTTCGAACCATCTCCACTGATACGGCAAATCAGAATGCACATTCAAACATTCGAAGCCCCAACTACATCTTCCACGCAAATGATACTGGCATATCTCCTCTGAAAAAATTCAAATTTCGTCTTTCGTTTGAGAGATAGTTTATTAATTTTTATATTATGATAGTAAAACATTAATAATGTTTCGATACCAGGACATCATTAGGATACGAAACACGCCCTACTCGGATATGTTTTGTATTAATAGTGTTACAAAGTTTATTTCGTTCGAAACATCACGACATTTGTTATAACACCGGAAAACACGTTAATTTTAGTTGACAGTTATTATCCTCATTCTTATTTATTAAAGTATATAAAATACCTGATGTTTACGTCAGTTTATCTATTTGTAATCCCTTATTTATTATCATAACTAATAAAAACATGTACCATGCCTTTTGTTTCACCCACTATTAGTTGGTACCTATAAGAATTCCAGATGGAGGCCATAAATATGTTCTTAATTTAATCGATTAAAGATGGAGACAAAGTGACGTTAGAAAATAGATCACATGATCAACTTGGTACTCGGTGACGTCATTATATGCAGTCATGTTATTGTTTCAATGGTCATATGACTTTTCCCTTATAAAAACTGCAGTTTTCCCTATTTATTTTCAATTTATATTGTCCGCTGTACAGACGTCACCTCTATGTACAATGTCATATAGAAAATACTTATCTGGAGAGGAAGATACCAGGATCATTTAAAAATATATTTTTCATGTTAAATGAGTTAAATTATAGTCATGTACTCCAAGTATTGATATACTTCTTGATATCTGTTTTCTATGTAACTAAGGAAAACAAATCTATCTGGAGTGCTTTTCGGATATGTATCCATTTCGACTTTATGTATAACGTATACTGTTTTCATAAATGTATAAATGATGTTGATTGATGAATAAATTAGATGATAAACCAACTACTGGCTTCCTTCTGATACAACATACCCCGACTATTACATACCTATAATTAAGATTGTAGTGATCTATAAGCTATATAGGTCTACTATTGAGATATACATCAAGTGAAGAGCAATTGTTACCGGAGAGCAGGCAGGCTCTTCCCGCCCGCGTAACAATATCGTTGCTGTTATCCAACCGCTTTTGTCAAAATATGGCACAGAGCTCCCTCCGTTGTATCAAAATGAATGATTTTTAGAACATTCGCATACAGTAATTTATTTTATCTACGACGCAGGGATACGACACACTCTCGAAAATATAAACCAGAGATTTCCAGCATACCATCTGATTGTTCTTACTGTTTGATAATACGTGTAATAGATATTATTATTAATATGTTAGAATAGCACTAAGGAAACAATAGAAAACAACCTAAAATTTTATCCATCTAGGGATAGAAGATATCATATCCATCAAAATTGTAACCAAAGCTTGGTTTCCAGCTTTCTATATGATCCACCTGTCTAAGCTGAAATCCATTTTATGCCAAATTAATGTTACCTAGCGGCTTAAAACCGTCAATTTTACGCCATTAAAAAAGCTGAAGTATTGATTTAAGCGCAAAGATAGATATGATGATGATAGTTGTTTATTTATGATTTCTTTTTAATTCATCATATTTACACTGATGTTTGAATGAGTCAACACATTGTAATTATTAATGATACCTAAGTGTAACATCATTAAATGCAAGTCAAGTTCGAAATTAATGTCAGACACCTTAATTTTAAGAGAGTTTTGCCCGTTTTAATCATCAGATTTTGGTCAGAAAATTGATTCCAGACGATAACTCTTAAGGGTGTCAACAGATTGTAATAATATTTTGTATACATATGTAGCATTTTGACATACAGGTCATGTTTGCATTTTGATTCAAACTAATACATATTTACAGAGTTATGTTACTTTTTATCTTAAAATTTTCGTAAAAAGGGTTTCACTGATGATAACTCTTATAGGAGGCAATGAATTGTTATGATTTTAATACAAAGATTTTATATCATAAAATACAGATCATCTTTGATTTTTTTTAAATTAGACCACTTAACTTATACCAATAATAGCCAGCTCCTGCCATAGGCCAAAATAAAAAGCATTCCATAAGAGACGACGCCGCTCACCGGCGTCGCAAATAAAATGATAATTATCATCTAGGTCAGTAAAACAGAGATGACATAACTTTTGATTTGATGAATCCATATTATTACATTGGGGTAGTAAACCGCCACTTAATTTGACAAAGACTGACATAAAATAAGACTTTTTATTTGATCTAGGCGTGATTCTCGTATAAGGTCAATTTTGTTACTTATTAGAACAAAGGTCTGCTAGATGAATCAAGAGATTCATCCATCTTTGTATAGCAATATTGCGAAAGTTATAGTCTAAGATTATCTAACAACAGAACAAGTAAGCATTACCTGCATCCTTGTCATTCCAAAAATGACCAAATTCATTTACGAAAATGACACGCCGAACATGAAATACCCTACAATCAATAGACGGGCTTGAAAATCAAAAGAAAAAAAACTTAGAATAAACTTTTAAAAAATTAAAAGTTATATAAAGACACCATATTAATCAAACTAAAATTTTATTCTCTTGGGGTCTTGCAAGTCTTGTGCGGCATATAGCGGAATGGCCGAGTTGTTAACGTGTCGGACTAGTAATCACATGATCGCTAGCCGCATGGGTTCCAACCCCGTCAGGGGTAAGTCTTTGTTTCTTTGAGCTATCTATTTGTGAATTACTTACATTCACGTTTTTGCGCAAATTTGTCATGTTGACGTTGGCGTCCTAACGCACGTGACGTCAAATACTTTGTACGTTATTCTGATGATGACAATAGTCGAAACTAGTA